CCGCTCGACTTGCAAATGTGGAAAGATGTTGCTAGTCCCCAGAATGTCGACGCTACTATACGTGCTTCGTGCCGTTGCGCCGCAGGGGCGACCTCCGAAAAAGCTTGGGTTAGCTCTGCGAGCCATGAAACTAGGGGCGCACATTGCGCGGCCTTGCACGCGTAAAAAGGCGAAGTGGTAGCATCTGCGTAGTGAACACGGTTCGGGGTGAAACGCTTATGGGAACACTCGAGGCCGTGATTTTTGAGCCAGTCTTTAAACCTCAGGTTGAGGTCATCTAGTACTTGCTGAAACGAGGCAGTGGCTGGGAGAGCTACCTGATTCGCCGGGCCCAAGAATCTATCGGCCCGAACTTGGGCCAGGTAAACTAGACCATTTCCTATGAGGTGGTGCCCTATCCCTAATTTCGTGCAGTGCATGTCGTCACCTCGTGTCCTATCGATCCTCCACCCTGGCATGCGAGTAAGAACGCTAGTCGATGACGGATCTTTCAGATAATCGTTGTGCGATAATATTGTTGATCTCCACCTCGCCTCCGGTCGCCAGTCTGTGTACGTGAAGGAGGGCAGTATTTTCGATGCCCAGCATCTGTGGCAGCAGAAGTTAGTCCTGTAGCTCCTCGGGATATATAGCACTGTTTTTGAAAGGTTTGGCCGCGCAATCAGATCATCCTTACTCCTGCTCCTCCCCCCCGCGCCGCCCCGCTTCTTCCTGCCCCCTCCTCCTCCCCTCCCCCACCCACGTTGATGCTCGATGGCACGGCGAACCGATGCAAGAACATAGCAAACACGTGTTAGTGCCCAATCGGCCTCCAGCCGAATGCCTCCGCCGACCACTCCCAGTCGCCACGGTACTCGCTGAACAAGCCACGAAAACCGCCTCGGAGTCTAAAAAGCATCGCGCTCACTCGAGCGGGGGGTGGCGCAGCCGTCCGGCAGCGACCCCCTCCCCCACCCCCCCATGTTTCAAAACTCCGAGGCCTGCGAGAGGTTTGCCAGCCATCATCGCCCTGCGAGAATTCTCGGGCCAAGGCCGACCGTCATGGTCGCACTCCGGCCAGGTGCCGTTGAGCAAATGGTGAAAACTCCCGACCAGTACTCCGTACAATCTCTCGTCGGTCGTGTTTGGTACCAAAATTTCATCGGGGACGATTGTGAATAAAATCTTCGACCAAGCAGTCGGCGCAGTAGAGAGTACGCTACCCCAAGAGATCCCCAGAAGCTTCTCCCTTTGAGTAAATTGGCCCTTGTCTGCATGGACCCCGAGAGGCACCGAGAGCTCTGGGACAGCCCCATGGGCAAAGCCAGGATGCTCCACGACCCAGTCTCTCCCGCCGTGCATGTCCCAGAAGTATTTCGCGTCCGAGACGCCCCCGGGACCAAGGAACATGTGGTTAAACCTGTCCATGCCGCTTGCATAAACGCTGGCAAAAACCTCGTGGGGGTAGATGACCTTATGCTTAACTGTGACCGTGCCGTGGTCTCGAAGGTTTTTGACATGCACGTCGACGTCCGCGCAATCTAAGTCCGACCCGAACGATTTGGCCCACCTCCGAAAAGCACGGTGAGTGTTTCCATTGTCCAGTCGCCCTAAATTTGCCCATTTGTTGACTTCTTCCTGGCCGAGCCCGTAATCCTCGACGCAGTCCTGCGCCGTCCTGACAGCCTCCTTGACGGACAATCTACCCTCGCAAACTCGATTGAAGAGCCGAGCCGATACCCTAGAAGATAAATCTGGCCGCGCTGCACTGGCATCTGGAGGATGCGAGCAGCTCCCATCGCTCTTCCGCTTCCGAGTTTGCAGGGCAATCTGGGACGCCTTCAAGGCCCGCAACATTTGGGCCAAAGGCTGTCGCGGAAGTGGTACTGGCATGGCCAAGCGCGCGAATAGGCTGACAGGTTGACAGGGCTGACGGCTGAGCTCCTCCTACCCCTGGGATTTCCTACTCCTTGACATCCTGGATCTCATCGCCCTTGATCTCCTGCTCCCCCTCCTCGCTGGGCCGCCGTTCCCCTTCCCCACTGTCGCCGCCCGAATCCGCGGCCGCCCCAGCCCCCGCTCCGATGGACTCCAAAACAAAGAGGGAGTGGAAGAGATCATCAGCCTTTCCACCCTGCGCCGACCGCGCCCCGCACAGGCAAGAACTTCAAAGCTGAAAAAAGAGGTCGGCCGCGCCTCCGTGTGGGCAGAAATTGACAATCCCCATTCGGCGGGAGCGCCAAGACAGCGCGAGCGCCAGACATAAAACAGTTTCGACCCCTATGGATCTCCACGCAGCCGCAGGCGCGACAGGCGCAGGCTCAACAGGCGCAGGCTCAACAGGCGCAGGCGCAGCAGGCGCAGGCGCAGACGCAGCTGCGTCGGCTGGCACCGTCGGCTCGCTGATCACCTTCCGCTTCTTGATGCCCCGCATGTTGTCGGCGGCCGCAAGGTACTCCTTGGCCGACGCGACCTGCGAGCGGTAGAACTCAATCTCTGCCGACACCGAGCCCGTGAAGTTGTTCTTGATGATGCCGTTCTCCTCCACGCAGGTCTTCGGCGTCATAGTGAAGGCAACCACGAACTTCGACTGGGCCTCGGCAAAGCCTGCGATCGACTGGTCCAGCAGCGGAATGAGCTCCTTGGCCCACGACTTGCCATTCAGGCTGGTCTTCGCAGTCTGCAGCTCGACGTCCCACGCCTTGCACTTGTCGCTCCAAAGCCCGACCCACTTCTGCGGGTTGAACTTCTTCGCGTTGCTGCCGCCAGCGCCGCGACCGCGACTGCGGCCACGACCGCGGCCTGCGCCACGGCCGGTCTCGCCGGCGGCCTTGCTCGAGGAGCGGGGGGGATGTCCGGCGGCGGCGGCGGAGAAGTAGAGGGAGGACTAGGAGCAGGTGCCGAGCCTTCGCACCGATAGTCTGCACCTCCGGCGCTGCGAACATGGACTCGAGATTCTTCGCCATGGCTAGCGCCGTGTCGCCGCAGATCACAGCGCTCCAGTGCAAGGAGCGCACCCTCTGCAGAGGGGCGCTCAAAAAACGGTTGCCAGATTTGCCCAAAAGGGGCATGTTTGGTTTCTTTCCTCCTCATCCTACTCCTCCAACCCTTCACTCATCCTACCGCTTCATCCCTCACCCCCTCCTCTGGATCATTCGTCTTCTCCCCCACTTCCCATATTTTCCCATATTTCCGGGGGATCGACGATTAATTGTGTCTCTGTGTTTTTGTTCCCTCCTTATGGGCCCCCGCCAGGGAGCGGATTGGACTGGGCTTTATTCCTCCTTTTCCTCTTCCCCCTCCTCCTTCCTTCCTGGGGCGGGGGGAGGGGGGGGCCACTTAATTCGTCCTGATGTCCTCTCCACCGCATCCTCGTGGACGCTCAGCGTCCTGGAATGCAGGTAGTACTGCGTCATCTTCTTATCATTGGGCCAGTCTGGGTGCGGGCGAATCCTGGTGCAATCCTGCTGGGACGCGGCCAAAGGAGAGCGCGGCCGATTTCCCCCCGGGGGGCAGCGGGATGATTCGACCCTCAATCCTTCTGCACACGAGCGATCAAGTCTTTCATTTGCTCGGGGTTCTTCGGATGCATTTCATAGGCCTGCGCCTGCAGGAGAATGGGCGCAGGAGGGGGAGGGGGATATGGGAAAAGGACAAGTTGGCCCTACTCACCCTCCTCCTCCTCCTCCTCATTCTCCCACTCCTCCTCCTCCTCCTCTTCCTTCTCCTCCTCCTCCTCCTCCTCCTCCTCCTCCTCCTCCTCCTCCTCCCCCTCTCTTCGCCTCAGTGTACCACGCGTACTCGTCTACAGTCTTCTGGATCTCTCTCTGGTGCAGCTGCTCGACCGCCTCCATCTTGCCAACCTCGCCACCGCACGCAAGATACAACTCGAAGCAACGATTTTTGAGCGACCTGTTCGTGCCAGCCGCCTTCCATTTCTCCTGAATGAGGGGTGGGCAGCTCCTGCGGGGGGTCTTTGTAGTCAACCCTAAAGATGCGCGATAAGGATGCAAGAGCCTTGGATGCCCATGCCGAGGCTCTTGGGTTGGCCATCGAAGGTGGCTGGGGATAGACAGAACATTGACCGCAGAGGCAATGATGCAAGGGCGCCACTGGCAAGTCAATTGCCCTCAATATGGGGGGTGACTGGCTGTCAACCTACACATACATACATACATACATACATACATACATACATGCATGCATACATACATACATACATACATACACGCATATATACATACATACCTACATACATACATACATACATACATACATACATGCAGTTGTGCATATATATATATGTGTACATACATACATACATACATGCATACATACGTACATACATACATACATACATACATACATACATACATACATACATGCATACGTCCATACACACATCCGCACATACATACTTACATACATATATATATATATACATGCATATATGCATTCATATATATATATATATATGTTCCTTAGCTTGCGGGATAATCCATCTAAGTTCGGCGGGAGCGCCGTGGTTCGCACAGTCATCAGGTGTATTGTAACTCTGCTGATTCTGTGTCCGTAGTCCGACTTGTTTTTGCTCAAGCTGTTTTCTTGTCAGTCTATGGGCCTCCCAAGTTCTTTCCATGTGGCCGTCGCCACGACATGTGGGTTCACGTTGGGATCAGAAAAGCCGACTCAGCTGCGCGCCATGCAACACGTTCGTGTGGATGTGGAGTATAACGACACTGGTGTTGGTGGCCGCTCGTGTGACACTCTTCTTCGCCTCTCAGGAAACGGATCTGTCAAGCAGACGCACATCGAGGGCCACACACACGGCCGTCTCCCATCCGATCTCCTCTCGCGGATCAACCTCTTCTGCGCCCCGCAGAGTGCCGGCTGCACCTCATTGGCCGTCGGTGCTTGGTGCTGCGTGGACGCATGTCGGAGGATCGGTTCCGCTGATGGGGCGGCCCGTGATGTCTTCGCCAAGGCCGAGGCTAGCTCCTCCTACGGGGCCCCCATTGCAGATGCGCCTGGACGGGTGGCCGCAGCCGTCAAGTGCGGTGTGGGGAAGTTGGCGTCGCCTGGTGATCGAGGTTGTGGGGGAGGCATTCATGCATGAACGTTTGGTGATTAGGGTCGATCCGAACGGCTGCTCAGCCTGGGCCGCGACGCCTGATCAGGATGGGCATGAGGAGGACTACCGTCATGATCCCGACATCGTCGGGTTCACCTTCCTGGATGATGTATGTGGCGACATGAAGATCTCGGGCGTGGCGGTGATCGCACCTGCTGGCCCGATCGTGAGCGTGAAGGCGGTGTCAGCCGGCACACTGCCGTCGGAGATCACCGTGGCCGTCTTCTTGGAGTGGGCGTTGATGCAGAAGTTTCCCAGCTTCAGGGATGACAGGATTGATCTCTACGCGTCGGAGGTGAGATACCGACGCATTATGAAGTCTCGTTTCGAGCATGGCGCCTGCAGTCGTACCTTCAACGCTGGTGTGTTAGGGCTGTTCGAGGAGCCTGAGGTCGATGACCGCACGAAGGGTCCCCGCATCCCGCTTGGCACCGCACAGACTCCGAGGTCTCAGGGGTCGATCTGGCAGACACAGGCTCGAGAATGTCCCGTGGCGACCCGCATTCCTCCTGGGAAGAGGTCGGTGCGCGAGTTCAAGCTGGTCCGCGAGGTTCTGAAGGCGTGGCAGCGCATCGATCGGTGTAACCTGGCGAACACGATGGGGGCCGATCTGCTGGTGAGGCGCAGGAGCCTGCTGGGGGGAGCGCGCGCCTCGTTCCCCAGCAACTCGGGCTACAGCACAACCAACATCATGATGGGCTGGGCCGTGGCACTCTTGAGCGTCACCGCTAGCAGGCTGAAGGACAAGGCGGCGGTCTTGAAGGGAGAGAGGAAGGCATTCGTTGAGTCCAGGCTCGGGGGAAACGGTCAGCCCCCGACGGACAAGGACAAGGGCGTCAAGGACTAGGGGGTCGAGATCGACCCCTTCGGCACCCTCGCAGGTGCCCTCGCCGAGCGCCGTCTGCTGACGATGTTCGACAACCGCTCGGCTCCTCGCGAGCTGCTACCTCTCCCTATACCCCCTTCATGGTCTTCGCCATCCTGGCCGAGGCATCGCTGCAGGAGGCTGCAGCAGCGCTTCGACCGCAAGAAGGCAGTTTTGAGCCGCGCCGTCGACTCCGTCAAGGCGCTGAATTGGGTGCGTGGTGGCCGCCAGCCTCCAAGTTTTTCGAGTCCTACCTTGTCGCAGGCTACGGCTCTTCAACACCTTCTGGATGTTCATCGGACGGACGTACCGGAGATCGTTAATGCCGAGGCAGCCCGTGTGGAGTTGCTCGGCTCAGGACGGGACTACGCTGGTGGCCCTGAGCTTCCCATCGCGAGTCACGACAAGGATCTGCTCTCCATGCCCCAGCTCGGGGCGGGGCCCGTGGACCTATCCACGGTACTGGAGGGTAGGGCCAGAGAATGTCTCGTTGACTTTGAAGAGGAGATCTTGCACGGTCCCGATGATTGGGGTCATATTACTGAGTGTGAGGAGCATGTCAAGCCGTACATGGATCCAGTGCTTAAGACCGACGCCGACGCTTACTTCGACTTCGTGATGAGGGGTCACAAGTCAGGTTTGTTTCGCTTCGGCCGCACGTCCCACGCCATCGTTACACCTTTCTTTGTGAGGAAGAAGGCCGGCACTTTGAGATTGATACTTGACTGCCGCCCAAGTAATCGCAGGATGCGTGAGAGCCCCTATGTTCGGCTTGGAGGGCCGGCTGATGTGGCTCGGCTCCTGCACTCGCGGAGTGACGGGGACCCGTACGTGGCCCTCGGCGACGTGAAGGATTACTTTCATTGCTGCGGGCTTCCACCAGGCCTTAGTCCATATTTGTCCCTGCCGCCCGCGTCAGGTCTGCGACTTCTTCAGGCTGGTATTCACAATGTAGAAGGTGTTCCCGTTCTTCCAGGTGATAGAATCTTTCCTCAGTCCAGGGTCGTTCCCATGGGGTGGTCTTGGGCTTGTTACTTTGCGCAGTCGGCTACAACGTCCCTGGTGCATCGTTTCTCGGGCTCCGAGGGTGACAGCTTCCTGGAATCCTGTAAGCCGCCTCCTGGTCTCGATCGGCCCGCTTACAACGTCTACATAGACAACATTAGCATCTTTGGCCAAGGTAAGTCACAGACCGATAGGATTGCCAACCAGGTTTTCGACGGAGTCGAGAGTGTCGGCTTTCGGGTTCACGAGCGCGCGTCTGCCAGCAAGTGGGCTCACACGCTCGGCCTAGAGATCGACTTCCTGCATAGCACGGTCCAAGGGAAAAAAGGCAGAAGAGGTGGAAGTTGAAGGCTGTCCTGGATTGGTTGGCTGGTGCTCCGTATGCGTCGGGTCAGGAGATTGAGAGACTTCTGGGCCATACCACCTTCCACTTCGGACCTAATCGGCTGTTCTTGTCCATCTTTAACAACGCCTATGACTTCATTCGTTCGAGCTACACTTCTCGAGTGCGTCTCTGGCCCTCGGTGGCAAGGGAGTGCTGGGCCGCTGGGTGTCTTATCTCGTTCGCGTTCGCAGACCTGGGAAGGGACTTCGACCCGTTCGTGAGCTGTTTCGACGCTAGCATGTGTGGGGCAGGGGTCGTCACGGCGCCTTGGGACTCGGCACAGGTTCGTTCAGACTGCGAGTGGGAGGAGAGGTGGCGGTTCAAGTGGGATGTGTACGATCGGGTTGCGCCCAGGGACAACAATTTCTTATCGCTGGACTGGGGGGACATCGAAAGCGTCAAGCCTTGTCGTGACAGGTCGTCGCTCTGGTCCCTGGACAATTCGTTCAGAGAGGTCCCGAAGGAGAACCTTGTGGGCCCCACCTGGACCAAGGTCGTTCGGAGTTTTTGGAAGGACGAGGAGCCGATATTCTGTCTTGAGGCCCGCGCGGGCCTGCTGGCGGTGCGTCATAAGTTACGGGCAGTCTCAAGTTTCGGTAAGACTCATCTGCACCTCGGAGACTCCATGACCGCTATCCTGGCTTTCGAGAAGGGGAGGGCCAAACATCGAGGTATTCTGGGTGCCTGTCGTCGTCTTTTGGCTCTGAGCGTGGCTTCCAACACCAGACACCACTTCAGGTGGGTGCCTTCAGAGCTGAACCCGAGTGACCCTGATTCACGCTACTTTGAGCTTCCAGTTGACAGCGACGGCCGACGCTTGCTTCGCCGCTCCACGTCTCGTGCCTGGACGGTGCGGGCAGACGGCAAGGGGAGCTGGCGGGTCGTCGATCCAGGCGGTGGTGCTCTCGCCGACGGCGGGCCCTCTGGACACGGTGGTGACCGAGAAGACACGTCGGCCAGCTCGACACCTGGTGCTCAGGAGGGACTACTGTCGGCGGCCCGACAGGTTTTGGGAGTTCGGGCGAAGCCGAGGTCTCTCCTTGGCCAACCCGAAAGTCTGCGACGACGCGCTGTGCGGCTCTGCCGACCCGCTGTTCCTGGACGGCGAGCGGATCGACGCGGGGACCAAGTTCCGGGCCGCGCTGGAGGACCACGACGTGCAGCGGTTCGGCAAGCCCAGCCTTCCTCGGCTTCGGCGGGTTCTTCAAGTCTGGCATCGGAAGGGGCCTGTGGACAGCAGGGACCCTCTACCGTTCCGCCTCCTGGCGGGCATCCTGGGCATCCTGTCGCTCCACGGCTTCCACGAGGAGGTGCTGGCGCTGACCCTCATGGTCATCTGCTCCCTGCGCCTGTCCGAGCTCGTGACGGTGGCCGAGGGCGACCCTTTCGAGCCCGTGGCCAACGCAGGTGTGGCCCTCGCGGGTTAGAGTCTATTCCTGCGGCCTTTCGGGAGGGAGGAGCCGACCAAGGTCGGCCATCTCGACGACACGCTCCCGCTCGACAGCCCCGACTTCCCCGGCTTGGGGGCCCTCCTTGCTGGATTGCGCAGAGGGGTCGTGGAGGTCTGGCTCTTCAGTTTCAGCCAGATGCAGCTGCTGCGCCGCCTGCAGGCGCCTCTCCGCATGGCGGGCCTGGGCTCGCTGAACATCCAGATGTATCAGCTTCTCCACGGAGGGGCGTCGACGGGCTTCCTGATGTGGACGAGGGAGATCCAGGCGGTCAGGCAGCGGGAGCGCTGGGCGGACGATCGCTCTTTGCTTCGCAGCATGAAGGCGGACAGAGGACAACTGCTTCACAAGGTTATGGCGCCCGTGTCCAACCGCTGGTGCCAGGAGGCGGAGGCCAACCTTTCGCTCGCCCTTCGCGGCGGATGGCAGCCTGCCCTTCGGCCGCCAAGAGCCTGCCTCTGTCTCTCACGGGCGGGTTTGTGATCGAGGTCTTCTCGGGCAGCGGTAGGCTGGCCAAATCCTTCGCGGAGCTGGGCATCCCGGCCCTGTCCTGGGACATCGAGCACGGCCCAGCTGGCGACTTGCTGGACGGGGACGTTCTGCGCTGCGTGCTGTCGTACATCGCCTCGGGTAGGTGTCTTTTCCTCTGGTTGGGCACGCCGTGCACGTCTTTTTCTCGCGCCCGGAAAAACGATGGTCGCGGCCCTGGGCCTCTTCGGGGCCCCTGGCACCTGGACGGCCGCCCCGAACTTTCTGCCCCCGACCCTGCCAAGGTCGAGAACGGGAACCGTCTTTTAGAGGCCTCGTTAATGCTACTGCGATGTGCTGCAGCTCACAACGTCCCAGCGGTGTTGGAAAACCCTAACACGAGTTTTTTATGGGACATGCCTCAGATGCTAGAATTTCAATCATCTCATGACACTAAGTTCACGGTGCTTCATTTCTGTCAATATGGAGAGCTTTGGGTTAAGCCCACCCGTTTGCTCCTCCTGTCTTGCTCTCACCTTTCGGCCGTTGGAAAAACTTGCACTGGCCGCGGTGTGTGTTCCAGGACTGGAAAGCCCCACGTCGAGCTTCGGGGCAAGGACCCAACTGGAACCTTCTGGACCCTCCGCGCTCAGCCGTATCCTCGCCAACTCACTCGTGCCGTTGCTTCACTGATGATGTCTCACCTCATCCGTGCCGGAGGCTCCTCCACTTAGGCCTTCGGCCAGAACGCTACTCTGGTGCGGGTGTGGGTGCTCTTTTGTGGCTCTTGGTGGTTGGTTGCCCCCTGCTGCCCTTGCCTGGTGGCGTCGGCGGGATGACTTCGGGTCCCCGTCCACGCCCGCTGGGCCAGGGTAGCAGTCGGGCTACCAGCCTCCTGCCACGGCAAGATCTGTGCCTCTGGCGGTGAATAGTTTTACAGTCTTCGAGCCTCGGTGAGATGCTCTCTCTGGCGCGTGAGCTGAACGGGAATATGGATGTTCCTTAGCTTGCGGGATAATCCATCTAAGTTCGGCGGGAGCGCCGTGGTTCGCACAGTCATCAGGTGTATTGAACTCTGCTGATTCTGTGTCCGTAGTCCGACTTGTTTTTGCTCCCCTCCCACTCCACCCTTTCTTGGGGTGCTCTTTTGTGGCTCTTGGTGGTTGGTTGCCCCCTGCTGCCCTTGCCTGGTGGCGTCGGCGGGATGACTTCGGGTCCCCGTCCACGCCCGCTGGGCCAGGGTAGCAGTCGGGCTACCAGCCTCCTGCCACGGCAAGAACTGTGTCTCTGGCGGTGAATAGTTTTACAGTCTTCGAGCCTCGGTGAGATGCTCTCTCTGGCGCGTGAGCTGAACGGGAATATGGATATACTTACATGTACAAACATACATGCATGCATGTTTGTGTATATATATATATGAACATACACACATACACGTACATACATTCAAGCATGCGCACATGCATGATTACATACTTGCACACATACACATATGTACATTCACACACACACACACATACGCACATGCATGCAGACATACATACACACAACCATACATACATGCATGTTTGCATACACATATACGGGCATATTTACACACAAATAAATAAACAAAAAATGTGGGCCCAGTCGTTCATGCGTTCATTCAGACATAAATTCGTTTATGCATGCATACATACATGCATACACACATATTCTACACAAGTATACATATCTGGGTCAAGAATATGCGTACACGCGTGTTGTGTTTTATCCTGTTCGTCCTCACGTTGTTGGTCAGACGGCCCATGCGGGCCCAGAGCATGGACCTGCGGGCCTGGCCGAGCTTCAGGTTCGCCTCGATCAGGGACTCCTCGAGGTCCTTCGCGTCGACTTCCCCCTTGTCGTTCCTCTTCACAGGTTTGAAAGCTGCCATGTCGTCCGCCTCCGCATCTGTCGGCGCGTCTGGAGCTGCCGCCTCCTGCTCCTGGCCTGCTGCCGCCTGCTGTGGCACTGCCGCCTCCGCATGTGTCGGCGCGACTGGAGCTGCCACCTCCTGCTCCTGGCCTGCTGCTGCCGCCTGCGCTGGCACTGCCGCCTCCGCCTGTGTCGGCGCGACTGGAGCTGCCACCTCCTGCGCTGGCACTGCCGCCTCCGCCTCTGTCGGCGCAGCTGGCACTGCCGCCTCCGCATCTGGCCCGGACGTCAACCTCCTCCTCTTGGCCTCGCCTGCATCTTCATCTTGACCGCCGTCGTCGACGCCCTGGGTCGGGTCGATTGCCGCGGCGAGGCCGATGCCACACATCATCGGCGGGCACTCGGGGACAGTCAACTGCTTGGGCGGCGTGGGGAAGGGGGACTTCGCAGCCGTGGGCTTATGGGCACTGCTTCCAGGCGTCGACGTACCGCCCGAAGCGCTGCTCAGGGGTGTCGACGTCCCGCCCGAGGGAGGCTCTGGGTTCTCAATCTTGATCTTGATTACCTTCATGTTGTAGTCGAGCACCAGGCGGCCATCCGCGTCTCGAAGGAATCGGTAGCTCATGTCTACAGTGAGCGCACGATCTGGGATTACAGTCGGACCCAGACCAGAAGAACACCACCCGCCAACACGAGGCCCTCCATGGGCCAAAACACACAGAACAACAAGGGCGCTCTGCCCGAACCGACTTCGGTCTTGCATCTCGGTCCGATTGTATCGGAGTCTACTGGCGCCAAAACGGCTATGTGTCCTCGCATTCCTTCTTTCCTCCTCTTCCTCCTGCCCCCGAAGGCTTCAGGGCGCATTCGTGGGGCAACGACGTATTGTTTGGCACATCAGGGCTTCGGCATGCTTCTCGACCGCCTCACGATCGGACACTCAGCAGGTTCCTGGGCCCCGACGTTTTTTTCACACATGAGCTATGAGATACATCACGTGCCCGTAAAAAGCTATCTTCCGGTATCTTACGGTATCTCACGGTTCGCATGTTCTATGTGGGTGCTATCTTACGGTATCTTACGGTTGCCGATTTGGCCAGTTTTGGTTTATGTTTAAATAATTTGGTTTGCGTTCAAAGTGTTTCGTGTCCACTCATGATTGGATTGCATTGGTTGCAATAGTCGTTTGCTTGATTGCATTGGTTTCGCACTCAGACTCGCTAACTTTGCTCGCGGCGGTGCCGCGGCGACGGCGCGGGCCACCTTGGACCCTCATGGAGCATGGGCGGGCGTTAAGGGAGGGGGGGTGGGGTGGTCGAGGGTTGTTGTAAACCGCCAGCGGAGGGGACCATGGGCCCCTGGAAGCCTTCTGGGGCCCCAGAAGGGGGCCCTGCGTGGGCAATGGTGCGCTGACCCCTTCTTTTTCACAGACCTCCCTTAACGACTGCCCGATCGAGAGAGCAAACGTTGCAAGGGTGGCGCGCGCGGGCCGGCGCCGGTGCAGGGGCGGCGCGTGCGGCGGCAGCCCCTTCCCTCTCCCCGACGACAGGCGTATGCACCGTGGAGGGAGGACCCCTAGGGAGGAGGAGGAGGAGGAGGAGGAGGAGGAGGAGGAGGAGGAGGAGGAGGAGCTCATGGGGCCGCGCGACGTGTGAGGGGCGCGCCGAAATGAGGCGGGGGGGGCGAAGGTGAATGCGCCCGGGGCTGCGGATTCAAAACGAGGGCCCGACAGCACAGGATGGGGATGCATTGGGAATGTCGTCGCGAACTCTTGGGGGGTCGGCGGAATGGCGCCAAGGACCCTTCACACGGAGGAAAAAAGGGAGGAGGAGAAGGAGGTAGGCGTCTCTTCCCACTAGGCGGGCCCCAGGGGCCCGTTGGGGGCCCAGGGAAGAACAGCATCGTTTTGTTGTTCCCCCCCTCACCCTTTGGGCAATGATGGTTTCGGCGAGAGGTTACTCTCTTATTTTTCCTTCTGCCTGTCGGAAATGTTGCCTGTCAAATTGTGGCTGCAGATTCCAACACGTCAAACGTGAATTGGAAGACTTAGCAACGCTATGTGCAGTGCCTCCCACGGGCGAACGTGCGGCCTGTGAACAACACCGCAAGTACAATGTACCATTCCGACGATGCAGCGCATCGAATAGTTTGTATATTCCAATCAGCTGCAAACGCATTCCCGTACCATGTGCACGTAGCTATTCATTGCCAACCATAGCAAACGCACATGGGCAAGTACTATGCATCACCAGAATGTCCAACGGCACACCACCAGAATGTTTGTAGTAACACGTCGCTCGCACAATTAATTTTGCACACTCGCAACTTTGTCTAACGGTTCTGAGGCTCGACAGATGCAGTAGGCAATTGTGATTCCAATGTGTCTATATATTGTTTCGCCAGAAATATCTCATTCGCCAATTCGAACGATTGCCCCCCGACCTCTATTGCGTACTCAGGTCCTCCCGCTATCTTTCTCAATACGTTATACATCGTGACCCCGACGTCGCACTTGTGATCTCGATATACAATGTCGTCCCTGAAGCGGAGCGGCACTAACATCGCAACCATGATTTTTTGTCATTGCCTTCTATTAAGCGCTTGTATCTCTGGCCCGAGCCAATTGGGGAATATTGTCTGAAATGTCCTTCCACGATTCTGAGTTCCCGCGGTGTCCTGAAATCGTGTTCTTTAGTTCGATTGAAGGCCGGCGACCAAAATTCAGCTTTGTAACAGTCTGGGAACGTCATTACGACGAGTGCCTGTGGGCATTGCCACGATAGTGATTCAAACGCGCAGGTTTTGAATTGATCAGAACTCTTAAAGTATGTGCTGCATCCATCATCTGTCGCCTCTGCAAAATGTGGGGAGCCCCAGAATGCTAGACCGAACTCGTAGCCCATCTCGTCGATCGCTTTGAACTTGCCCTTGAACCCTGATATGCCGTAATGCGGCCCTTGTGCGCCTAGGTCACAGAGTCTCTTTGAATATGTCCTCGTCTCACGATGCAGCTTTATTTTCTCTTCGTCGTCCGAATCGAGCGGGGGCGGTTGCTCTTCCAGGTCCGTCAGAATTAGTTTTCGAAATGGGAATGAATTGTTGTCCAATATTCCAGCAGCATCAATGTCCATCTTGTTGTCCACTATTCCAGCAGCATCGATGTCCATGTTCGGATTGTCGATAATCACGCCGCGGCCCAAAACAACAAAATTGCAAAGCCAAATGGGCTACGGAATTGATGGTGGAGTGGCTCCAGGATCGACCCAGGATCGACGCCAGCTCGGCTTGGGTTCTGGGAGGCCTCTCGTCGCCACGCCTGGGCCCTCTCTTGGGCTTCGTAATTACGATTTAGAATCATCCGTATAATGAATCACTCCCGATTGTGCGAGGGCGGGGGGGGGAGGGCTCTTCCCCCCCCCCTACATGTGAGGGGA